GGGAGGGAGGGAGGGAGGGAGGAAGGGAGGGGAAGGAAGGAAGGATGGAAGCCAGACAAGAGTAGCCATGTATACTTACTCTAACATTCCAGGTACTGGTGAAAATGTCCTCTAAACTGAGCCTCAAGCTACTGTGCATAAAGCATGCCAACCCTCCATGCTCCCAAGATGCACTGGGTCTAGGATCATTTAGAGTTGGTTTCAAAGCTGGAGGTAGGGGTGGACAGAGACAGAATCTCAGAGGCTTGCTGGCTCCTGGTTCAGTGAGAGACCGTGTTTAAAGAGAATAAGGTAGATAATGCTAGACAGATCGGGACACCTGATGCCTTCCTCTGGCCTTCACATACATACAGGCATGCACAGGCATGTGTGTGTGCACACATATACACATGCACAGAGAGGAGGAGGGAGGGAGGGAGGGAGATAGAGAGAGGAAGAGAGAGAAGAGAGAGATCTGGAGCAATAGGATGAGATATCTGCTCTCTGGCATGCCTCCTGAACATCCACATGCATGTACCTGTTCATACACACACAGTACCCCCTGCACATCTACAAATGTGAGTGCAGACATCAGTTCACACATGTAATTTCTGAAAGCAAGGTTCACAGGCCTTAAAATTTCTTCTTGGATCTTCTGGTAGTGAAATTGGTTCTCTTAGCAGCCTGGGAGATCACCTCCTACCCTTCCGCTCCCCACCCCACCTCCCTGGGTCAAAGCTCTCCCTGGGTTTCCATGGAGACCAAGAGTGGATGTCAGGCCAGCCTAGGGTTCACACAGGGAAAGCTGAACAATGTTGGGAGGTGAGTGGCAAGCCACTACTCACAGAGGTGTCCCCAGATCAGCTGTATTCCTCCTGTCCCCACTCCCCCACCCCTGAGAACAAAGAGGGCACCATGAGACCTGTCACACAGACCTGCTGCTCCTAAAGCCTGTTCCAAGCTTAGCCCTGCTTCCCTGGAAAGGATATGAGGTGCGGGGAGGTGAAGTGCTTTGTCCAGAGTCAATGCCAGGAAGTGGCTGCATTGACTTTAGTATTAAGGGATCTGGGAGAAAAGCAAGGTAGCCCAAAGACAGCTTCCTTGTTCACCTACTAAACAGAAAAGCCAATGTTTCCATGCAGTGTGCTCCGCCAATGAGCAGAAGGCTCATGAGGCTAGGCTGAGAGCCTGGGGTTTGACTTTCACAAGTAAATTCTGGCCACATGATGCAATCAGATAGGATGGTGGCCACCAAGAAGGGGGCAAGCTGTTTCCCACTGGCCTCCTTGCAAGAGGCCCTGGACTCAGAATCCATGGTCCCACTCTGTCACCCCCACAGGTGTATTTTAGGGGACTGGAGAGATGGCTCAGCAGTTAATAGCACTGGCTGCTCTTCCAGGGGACCCAGATTCAGTTCCCAGCATCTATATGGTGGCTTACAACTCCCTTAAACTCTAGTTCGTGTGTCTAAGGGCACCAGACACACAAGTAGACACAGACATATATGCAGGCAAAATGCCCGTACAAATGAAACAATAACAGCAACAGCGAAATTCTTAAAGTGCATTTTAGTTTCTGAAGTCAAGTGTTCCCCTCCCTAAGAAATAAGAGCCCGTGCTGTGACCTTTGGGGACACACAAAGAGAGATGGATTAGGTTCCGTTATTTAGCATAGCATGAGAAGATATTACTTTGAAAATGTTTCCCCTTGTAAAGGAGCGTTAAAGTGACCCAGAATAGCCTAGCAGCACGGAAAATCAGGTGTCACACCAAGTTCATGTGGGGATAAAGTACGGGTAGAGAAGAGGCATTTCTCTTCCATTTGCTTTTATTCTTAAATTGATGCAATAGCTACCTTCTGAAGGGATGTGCCGGCTGGTGGGGAGCATGAGAGGGAAGCAGACCTGAGATCTCACCCCAGCCTGTTAGTTGGCAGCTGTGTGATCTTGGCCAAGCTTCATGACTTCTCTGAGCTTCCAAAGAGCACTCTTGGTTCTTAGAGCAATAATCATAACACAGTTTGATCTGGAAGTCAGGGAACACCCTCCAAAAGCCAGCACGAAGCTATGAACAAGTTTCTCCCTTCTTGGGTCTGTTTTCCTCTATGAAATGAAGACTCTGGACCAGTCTTTAAGAATTGGTCCATGTCTTACAGCCCCAAGACACTGGGGATGCTGTAGTCCGTGGAAGATGTGGGAACAGTGAGTGGTCCACAGTAGAATGCCATGGCTTTATGCTCCCACTCCAGGTTCACCCAAGAGAAAGACTTACACCCCCATCACTGTGACCTCAACACCTGTTCACCCTCTTCCTGTATTCACACCCCACACTTTGTAGCCCAGGGATCCCAGACTAGGAACGTGTTCATAAACCCCATCCCCCAAAGTGATGTACGTGCCCAGCCCCTGGACATAGTGGATGCTGTAGGCATCCCATCACCTGCCTGTTTGTGTCTCCACAGGTGAGTGGAGGGGCCTCCCCCCTCAAGAAGTCAGAGCTGTGCTCGTGGGCAGGCTGGCTCCGCTGTTCTGCTCCAAGGATTACATGTCCTTCAAACGCCCTTGCCCCTGTAAGTCTCTTCCTCATCCATCACTGTTGGGGTCCAGCTTCTGCAGAGCTAGAGGGCAGAGCTGTAAGGATAGCAGCGGGATGTTTGGCCAAGGCACTGAGTCTGACCAGGGCTAGTGTGGAGGGTCTGAATCTGGGGCTGGGGGGCAGGGACACAGGCCATCTCAACATCAGCAGTGGGCTGCCTGGAACCTGAAAAGTCACACCTTGTCCTGTTCCCAAAATGTGGATCAAGGTTCCTCTAAAGCATACTAATCATGTGCTCTCTGCCCACCCACAACCCCATGGCCAACTAAGTGTGCAAAGCGTCGGATGAGACGTGTTAGACACTGCCAGCCTTTTCAGGGCCTTTAGTGTGATGTGCTATGACGTACGGTTTCTGTGGGAAACAGAAGCCTTCCGTTCTTCCAAAGCTTAAATGCCCACAAATGATGCTTAATGGGTTTGGGTCCTACACAATACGTTCCTTGGGGGCTGACTCCCTAAAGAAATTCATCCCATGCCTCTCACGAGAAAGCCCTCACTGACCAAAGAAAATACATGATCGTTGAGAAGTCGTGGCTGTGTGTTGAGGTGACATCAGAGGACACCACCTGCTGACCTGGTGTCCACACACACTGACTCTCACTTCACTTTCACGAAGGTTTGCTTGAGTTTCTACCTCTAGTCTGTACCGTCCTGGGCTGAGCACATATTTCTAATCACAGCCCCAGATGCTAAACTCCTAGAATACTGAGGGAATGCCAGTGAAAGGGGGCGGGGCTGCATGTCCCATGTGGATGGGATTTAGTCAGAATCTGGGCAGGGCCCTCACCACTTATATTGCAGGGAAGAGGCTCATCATTACAGCTGTAGGCTCATCTGCCAAGAGTATATAACTAGATGTGGTAAAGCTCTGGCCAACTGGAAGAGGGGAGGGGGGAGTGGAGAAGGAGAGCCCAATTGTATGTGACACTGTTGATGGCTTCCACCTTCTTGACTCCTGACCCTCCTAGGTTCTTCCAGCCACTCTGTCCTCGTATCCTGTCTGTCGTGGCACCTTTAGTGTGGAGGAGGGGAACTGCACCTGTCCCTGTTCCTCAGCCTCAGGGTCCAGCTCAGACCCCTCCTTATTCTGCACAGCCAGACTTCATCCTTTCTCTGTTGCTCTGCTTCTAACTGCAGTATTGGGAAGGTGCAGTCCCAGCTTCTTCCTGGGTCCCTCAGCTTTCTACTGCCCCTAACCCACTTCATATTCAATCTACCCCAAACTGAATGTTCTATCTTCCCTCTAAACTATCTATATTTATATCTATCTATCTATCTATCTATCCATCCATCCATCCATCTATCTATCTATCGATATCTCTATGTCTCTACATCTCTATATCTATCTCTATGTCTTTATATCTATATATTTATTTATCTATGTATCTATACTTATACCTATATCTATATATAGTTTATTATATAAACCATACATGTACTGATTTGGGTACCACCATTGAATCTAGCCCTCAGGCCAGAAATATAAGCGACCCTCAGTCTCCCTGTTGTGCACACACCCAACAGTACTGACTGCCCAATGGAATTCTGGGGTTTCTGGGTGAGGCTGACAATTTGCCGTCTTGGAGTCCCTTTGCCCTCACCCCCACCCCTTCAGATACAATCTAGGAGTCTAGAAGTTACTCATTACCTTTATGCTTGCTCACCTGTCCACATCGCAATAGAAGGCGAGCTTCCAGAAAGCAGGTGTGCGCTGGCCTTGCCCTCTGGTTGTCCTCAGCACCAAGCTCGTTGCCTAGCACCTAGTAGGTCACAAATGTTGGCTGAGCAAATGAACAAGTGAATGAAGCCAATGCCCTGTGGCCTCTGCCACTATGCAGATTGAAGACCCTCATTCAGGTCCTGGAGGTATGGTTCACAGGAGTGCGGAGGGGGTACCTCAAAACCCTGAAAAGCCCCCAACAGAGCTCTTAAGAGCTAGACATGGGGAGCATTCCTAGCACTTGGAAGGCTCATCCCTAGCTCCAGGTCAGCCTGGGTTTCAGAAGGAGACTCTGTCTTAAATATTTGAAACTTTAAAAATAATAAAGAAATACTTAGGATGCCCACAAGTGGCCATCTGAGGCCACACGCCCCTCCTTTTTAGACACATACCCCCTTCCAGAGCTGCTCTGTGCAGTGAGAAACGTGGCAAAGACCACCATGTTGGCTCACCTGATGACCTTGCCAGGTTATGCAAAGATGCCGCAGCCATGAAACGCAGTCAGAGTAGGAGACAGTTTGTTCCTGTTCACACCCCTGCTCCCCTGGCCCCTGTGGTTTAGATGTGAGACCCACGGAGGGAAAACCAAGCCCAATGGTTTCCCAAAGAAAGACTTTTGTCCAGGAGTCAGAGCATGGGAAATCTGCAAAGAACAGAGGGGTCACATCTACCAGGAGCAGAAAGCAAGGTGGCTGGTTAAATGGTGCTTAACCACCTCTGAAAACTGATTGGGCAGCACCTGCAGCCCCTGGGGATGTGATATGCTTCTCTGGCTTCCTGGGAGTTGGGCAGACATCAACCACAACAGGCTGGACTGTAGGTCTGTTAAGGTCCAACCCTGTTTCACCTTCTGACACCTCAGCTTGTCTCTGCCCCTTGAGGGTACCTCTAGCAGCTCTCAGCAGCAACCCCATTCGAAAGACGAGAAGACTGAGGGAGAAACGCAGTGAGAACAAGAAAGAGGAGGACGGAGAACCTTGTCAAGGAAGACTGGATGTGTGCGAACCATGTGGCTGCAGAAGGAGAGGGGGTTCCTCTGCTTGAAGTGATGTCTATGAGCCTTTCTCAGCATGCAGAGGTCTTGCCTGGAGCCCTGAGTGTGGAGGAGGCCCCTTGTTCCTCAGGAAGTCTGGGGATGGGGGAATCGGTTCTATCTGGGCTCTGCTGAGCAGAGCAGCCTAGGACCCCCTGGGGACCCAGGCTCTAAGCACAGATGCTACACATCCTCTTCACTGTCATCTAGCAGATGGCAGCACCACGTAGCTCTCTGTGCGGTGGGGGCAAGCTGCTTCCTTATGGCCTCTGGGGACAGATCTGAAGGGGTTGTTAGGGGGAGGGTGGGGCAGAAGAGACTAGAGACTAAACATGTAGCAAAGCAAATGAAGGAGGGGGTGACATACCCCACAATCTATGGGGAAGTCAAGTGGGCACATCACTGTCAAGTTTATGGTGGGTGTCAGAGGCCTGACAGGAATCATAGCCTGGCAGGGCCCCATATACCTATGACACCCCACCCCTCAGAGTAAGGGTAATGTTGGGCTGTAGTATGGGAACACCGTAACACTGATAGTTACCAGCGGTGGAAGTATTACTCACCTTCCTGTGCCCTCAGTTTGCTCATCTATAAAATGGAACTGGTAGACTCTTAGAGTTTGCTGCTCAGATTTGAGGGGCCTTGGGGAGAGAGTTGCCCTTGGTATCAGGCTATGAAAAGATGCTCAAGAACCTGTCCCATGGCCTATCTCTGCATTAGCCATGTCTTTAACAGTGGAGATGGGAAAACAGAGAGGTGAGGCTCTAGGGGCAAATGAGATTTGTGTGTTAGCTTTCTGTTGTTGTGACAGAATACCAGGGCAATTAACTTTGGGGAGGACAGGTAAGGGCTATTTGGCTTGTGATTCAGTGGTTTCAGCCCATGGTCAGTTTGTAATGATGATTTGGGGCCTGTGATGAGGCAGAACATCATAGCAATGATAGAGGAAAACTGCCTCATGACGGCACGGAAGCACTTAGATTCCCGACATCCTCTTCAAGAGTATATCCCTAGTGATCTGACTTCTCTGGCAAGTCCCCACCTCTTAAGGGCTCTACCACTTCCTATCAATGCATGGACTTTTGGGGGACATTCACAGTACAGTGTTTCTTTGTTCCTCTTGTTGTCATAGTTACCTCTGTTGCTATCAACAGAAGGAAGGATTTGGGGACAAACAGGGAAAAATAATGGAGCACACTCAACATCCCACCATTTCTGTGTCCAGAGCAGACATCACTAATCAATTATGGCACCCTTTCCCAATGAGCCTAGATGTAAACTCAGAGTCACTCTAAATGCATGCTGGAAATACCCATAGACCACTAGTTTTTGTCCATCCCTTGGTGAAGCAAGGGACTAGAGGGGAAGGGACTTTAGATGTTCACTCCTGGGTCTGTTTCTTTACTTATACAATGGGAATTGATAGAAGTTTTTACGTTAGAGAGATGCTGTGAGGTAGCATAGGGGAACCCGTATAAGGCCTTAGGATCCATGTTTCTTGTGGCCTTACTTCCACAAAGAAGCTCTTACTTCTTACTTCAAAGAAGTTCTTTGAAGAAGGGTTAATGTGTCCATTCCACACACTAGGAAACTGAGGCTTAAAGTAGTAAAGGAATTAATCAGGGTGCTATAGCTAGAAGACAGGGGGGTCAGACTAGAATGAGGGTGGTCAGGTCTCAGTTTTAACTAAACCACAGCTGGATCAACATACACGTGGAGCCAGGTATGGTAGCATGTGCTTGTAATTCTAGCTCTGGAAAAGTGGAGACAAGAAAATTCCTGGAGTTTTCTGGCCAGCCAATCAGTGAGCTGCAAGTTCAGGGAGACACCTTACCTCAAAAAGTAGAAAGGGATAGTGGAGGCAGTCTGGTATCCACACAGGTGTGCACACACACTCACATGAGCATAAACAGGGTGTGTTTTTATTTATAATGTATTGGAGTGGTATGTGGCAAATACAGCAGGATAAGGTAGCAGGTAAAGAATGAGTTAAGTACATAATGGGGCTGGAGAGATGGTTTAGCCATTAAGAGCACTTAATGCTCTTAAAGAGGGCCTGGGTTCATTTCCCTGCACCCACATGGTGGCCACCCACTTTAATTCCAACTCCAAGGGATCCCATGCCCTCTTGAGATCTCCAGAGGCATGCAAGCACAGATGCACAGACACAGACAGGCAAAACACCCCCACACATACAATTGTCAAAAATATAAACACAGTT